CTGTAAGGAAATATAGTCAGTTATTAGGAGAATTGCATTTTTTTGCTATACATAACAAGACAAAACTGATGGTAGCAATAACAATCTAAGAGGAATTGCATAGATATCCCACATGGATATTTAGACATTACAAATACACAAGGAAATAGTCTCATTCTCCAATACATTGCATAAAATATATCTAAAAGCATTCAACCCATTCACGCCGGGTGTCACGTATATGTGACGGGCCCACTGTGAGTTTACTTGTTTAATTGTTTTTACACATAGATGGCTGCACTTGTACTTGTACTGGCTGTCTTGTCTGTTTACCCTTTTCTTTAATTTACGAAAATATTATAAGTTATCTTATTTTGCTGTTACTAACATTATAGTAATTATATTGTTTATAATAAAAATAACCATCGATATTCATTGTACTAGTAAAAATACATTTTCCCGCAAAATGAAATCAGGTAAGGCAGAGCCATCTAGTGTAGAGAAATTTCACAAAAAGTATAAAAAATGAGCACAGCATTTTCCCCCATTTTTTGTTCATTTTTACCCGGCGCGAATGGGTTAAGACATCAAAAATATCTGATTTTTTATATAGTGTACAATACCACAGATAATTCATTCCAAGTTAATCTCTCTGGATCTGCAAACTCTCTCAATAGAAAAAAATCATTAGTAAGTGCAAATAACTTGTCAAAATAATAAAGCTTATCAACCTCATAATCTGAGACTATCAACGTGTCACTCAAGGCTATAAACATATTGATAACTGATGTTGTGGACTTCCATAGCCTTCCTGTAAGGAACAGAAGAAAATGTTTACTTTTGGGTCTCTTCTCTTGAACTGTCAAGTGGAGTTGAGTTGAACAAAACATCCTTTTGCTGCAGATTTGGACATACTATATCTGTTTTAAACCTATAATTTTGAGACATGTCTTAAATTATTCAGAAAAAAGTTGATCAAAATTAAAATACTCTAAAAGTTATGGGAGTATTTACACTTGTATAAAAAATAAAGAATACTATTCACAATATGATAAAAAACCCACTGTGTCTACTTCTATCAAATCACTAAAAACATTATTGATTTTAATTGCATAGACATACATCTTGCTTACATAAAAAAGGCTGAATCTTCTTATTTTTCATTAAAAAAAACTATAAACAATGTTAGAGTTAATTTAAAGGTGACAATAACTCAAACCATCAGTGATACAGACTTCTTTCAACATCCAAAGCCTAATTTCTTTACATAAGCTAGAATATTCATTGGATTGTAACACAGTTATGCATACACAAAGCCCTTCCTGGACAAGACAACGTCATTAAGTTCTTGAAACTTTTACATCAAAACTCTAGAAACCAGTGTGTTTTATCATCAGTTTGTTATCTAAACAATTTACTATCAAAATTATTAGGTTATGATATTAGTGTAGGGCAGGTGACATGAACATTCTGTCATGGGAAAATCTGGCTGTGGGCTGGGGTGGTAAGAACTTGCCATAATGAGCATTTCGGCTGAAGGCTAGGGTGATGGGAATGACTTGCCATGTGTGCACATAGCTTTTGAAGGGTGATTAGACTCATCTGCATTATTTCCATCAATAAACGAGTGTGGAATGTACAATCTGTGAGCTATAATTGGAAGAGTACTGGCTGTGCAGATTGTATAACAGTAAATTGAATATTTTGAAAAAATAAAAATAACACAAATAACAAAATCTTAATTATTATTATTATCATTGTACTGGGTAATGGACTACCTAGAGAGATATGGAGTCTGTGTAAAGAAAATAGTCGATTACCATTTGGATAAAGCAAATCAAATGACAAATATAGACATTGGAAAAATGGCAAAGAAGCTAAAAACTCTTATGCAAAAAAAAAAAGAAAATAATATTGCAAAGAGAATACAGAGAGTCTTACCACTGCACATGAGTGTTCATGTGTGCCCAGCCTACAAGCTGCACATCTGGATCCAACTGGTTAATAAATCAGTGGGGCTAATAATGAGGAGGGTGCCTCCATTCCCAGCCATTTTTATCTACAGGCAACGTTGTGAGTTTGATCATAATCAAAGAGACATGCCATGTGACTGTATGGCCTGCATTAGCAGACCTGGACTCATCATCATCATCATCATTTGGGAGCTAATGCTGGCAGGGGTGCATAGCCCCATCCACCCTCCCACCTACGAGGGTCCCTCATGGCGAGCCACCTGGACTGATGAAATAATATGCCCGACACCAGCCTTACTGGCTAGCTGTTGAGTGGACATGTAGTTCTGACACTAGACCCATGATCCAATGCAAGGATCTATTGCAAAAGACATTAAGATCAAGCGAGTTCCTGGCTCCTGCTGCCTGGCTAATCCATCTACTGCTCTCTGGTCATGAACTACACTGCCAAAGTATGTAGAATTCTGTGTGACTTTAATGTCCTTACCACAGGCACATACTGACTGAAGAAGTTTTCCTAGCACATCCTAAACTCCCATTGATCTTGGTCTTGCTTCAAGAGACCTTTAGACCCAAGGCTTTCGTCTCCATTGAAAACTCCCACTAGGGTCTCCAAAGACTCAGATAAGATGACATCATCATCAGCAAAGTTTAGGTCAGTGGCTTTGGTTTTGTCCAATGGTACTATGTACTGACTTTGGATGGTAGCTCTTCCTATCATCTACGTCATACAATTGTTGAAAGCACAGCCTTACCTCATTCTTGTATTCATAGAAAAAAAGCTTCATTTACACTTTCCACAAGCATGTAGGTCTGCTATTTATCCAATAATTGCTGTCAGAATTCCTTAAAATCCCATGATCATCCAAGCTGATTCACAAAACATCAAGTTGAATACCTACCTGAAGGTGCTGTAGGCTGCAAGCAACCTATGACCAAACTCTCAGCAGCATCCTATAATACCTTAAAGTGTAAGGATAAGGTCTACTGTTGACTTGTCAGGAGAAAATCTAGATTGCTCCAATCTCTGGTGCCTCATTTCAGAAAGATTAGTGAGCACCTTGCCATGTATGCAAACCAGTGCTGTGTTCAAATGACTGCTGCAAACCCAGTAAGCCATTACACCATCCCAGAGAAGGTTTTGCAGGTCAGAATAAATGGCATCAGCTAAACAGATGGTAGATAGGACACACAACCAGACTTCAGCATTTCTACAGGTATGTTGTAGATGCCAACTGTTTTAACATCTTTTAGTTTTGGAAATTGCCTCCTTAACCAATTGGCAATGGGTGACATGTCATCACACTATGGCAAAACATCCCAGATGTCAGATGACACCTCACCATGTAATGGATTTTTACAACTGATAGTAGTGCAACATCACCTGTAGAGACATCACAATTTGGGCATTTAATTTTCAAGAATGAGCTACATTTTATAAACCTTTCTTGGGTGAGACATCAGGGAACTTGAAGTGCTGATATTAGTTGTAAGTTCCATGTTCCTGGTCTACAACCAATCAATGATTGGTACCACAGATCTCTGCACTCTGGTAAACCTTACATTTCTGGAAAATTCTCCAATATGGATAGAGAAAAATGTGATTAACCTACTTGGCTGCATTACCTGCATTGCAGTACCAAGTCCAGCAACATGGGTTAAAGCACTGATACCATTAGCCAGAAACCCTCAAGCTTTGGGACCTTGTAAATTGTTTATCAATTCACTAGGATATGAATAATGTGATCATAAACTCAAACTAAGTCAACTAAAGGGCCTGTACTCACACTCCTATGGTGTTTTTCACAAAGGAGCACTCTATGGTAGACTTTGATGATGATGATGATAATAATAATAATAATAATAATAATAATAATAATAATAATAATAATAATAATAATAATAATAATAATAATAATAATAATAATAATAATGACAATAAAAATGACAATAATAATAATAATAATAATAATAATAATAATAATGACAATGACAATAATAATAATAATAATAATAATAATAATAACAGTTGTAATAATAATAACAATTATAATAACAGTACACTAGGATTATATCAATATTGATAATGATGATGATGATGATGATGATATCACAATCAGCATAGATATAATAGCAATAATAAAAAAAAAAATAATAATAATAATAATAACAATATTAATAATGATGATGATGATGATGATGATGATGATGATAATGATAACAATAATAATAATAATTATAATAATAATAGTAATAATATTATAAATAATTATAAACAATAATAATGAATATAGTAATAATTGGATAATAATATCAATAATAACTAAAATATAGATAATGATGTGGTAATAAAAATGGTAATTATAATAATGAAAATGATAATAATGATAATAATAATAATGAAAATGATAATAATGATAATAATAATAATAATAATAATAATAATAATAATGATATAAATGATCACAACATCATTCATTATAACAATAATAATAATGAAAACTATAAATATATCCTCATCATCACAACTACAGCAGCAACAATATTTATAACAACAATTTTAACAAAAATACAAATGCAAATAAATAAAAATAATAATAATTTCCAACACCTTATTGATCACTGTAATTATCAAATCAATAAAAAAAATAGTAGTAGTAAAGACTTAAAATCAATAATAATGATGAAAAAATAATAATAATGCTAATACTGCTAATAAAGCATACAATAAAAACTATGATTATTATAATAATAATAATAATAATAATAATAATAATAATTATAATAATAATAATAATGGTAATAACAATAATAATAATATTGATAATGTTAACAATTATTATAATAAAAATAATATCAATATTAAAAACAACAATAATATTGAAAACAACAAAAATAATAATAGCATTAATGATGATAATGATAATACTACTACTACTACTAATAATAAAGTGAAAGATCACAATATCATTAATAAAAGCAATAATAATAATAATAATAATAGTGATAATCATAAATATATCCTTAACATCACAAGTTAGCTTGGAT